TAAATAATAAATAATATAAAATCTAATTTCTGTTTTATTTAGCCTATAGTTTAATTCATGGGCAAACAGTTGCAAAAGCTCAATAGCTGATAAATATGCTAACGCAGCAACATTTAGTATAGCGTCATCTAGGATTAAACAAAGTAATGGGAATTTTTTTTTTATATCTGATTTGGTAGGGTCTTACAGCGGAGACGTGGCGATTAATGATAGTAAATACAGGGAAATTCTCAAAACAAACAAAAATATTAAGTGAGGTGATTCCAAAAAGTAAACTGAATGAAAACATAACAGGAACAAACAACAACGCTTTATAGATAAATCAACAATCCTGCATTGCATTAGAGAACGAATTCATCACTATTACTTAGATCACTACGGAAGCACCTAAGTGTCATTCGACTTGACGACTTGTCAAGATAATTATGTTGTCAAGACGACATAATATACATATCATGTCGACATGTCGAGATCAACTATCTTGCCAAGACGACACACAATTTGTATTAAGTCGACTTGTCAAGATAATCTATCTCGGCATGACGACATAACATTTTTACTATGTCGACTTGGCAAGATAAATTATGTCGCCATGACAACATAACATTTTTACTATGTCGACATGACAAGATAATATATCTCGCCATGACAACATAACATTTTTAGTATGTCGTCTTGGCAAGATAATTGATCTCGACATGTCGACATAATATGTATATTGTGTCGACATGACAACATAAATCATCTTGACAAATTGTCAAGTCGAATGGCACTTAGGTGCTTCCGTACCGGACTAATTTAGTTCATTAACCTTTTGCACTGTGTATATATCCCGTTTTAAACTAAACTGAAATCTCAATAGTCCGTATATAATGTATGTTTAGATTAACCATGACTTAGTTGCAACTATAGTCGAAATAACAATTTGTTATTAGAAGTTGTATCACCCACTAATGTAACAATCAATCTCTGTAGTAACATTAACCACTTAAGTAGTAGTAGTAATCATTTAACAAAAATCAACCACTGCTGTAACATAAACCACGGTTGTATAAAAAATCAAACATCGTTGTAACAATTTCATTAACCACTATTGTAACAAATGATTAATTTAACCACTGTTGTAACAAAATTCATTAACCACTAATGTAACAATGATTTATTAAATCATTTAATGATTTATTAAATACGACCAGAGAGATACGGAGGGCTGAATTTACAAATATGATGAAACATTTTGAGTCCGCGTTGGCTCCAGATATTTGCCGACAGGAGGTGCGTGGACCACAATATAGGGATTGGCAATCAAAATTACGTAAAATTGATTTAAAAAAAACTAATATTTTTAGTTAGAAAAAGTCTTGGTGACCGGGGTTCCTGTCAGACAAAGAAGGGGTGGGGGAGTCAACTGCCCTCCCTGCACCAATGGAGGTAATAAAACTAATTGTTTTTTTCTATTTTTTTTTAACGTCAGTGTTATATCTCAAATTTCGGATGTGTTTGATACAAATAGTTTTTTTTTTTCTTGTACATATTGATATATGGAATGCAAAAATTGATGTTCTTGTACATTGTTTATGATCCTAGAAATTTGTAATCAACAACAGTTTTTGGGGTAGGTGTAACATCTATGCTTGTAACCAAACGGCGGCAGGAGCCATGATTGACCAACCTACTTTTTCTACTGGGGGGCTTCCCCCACACTTTTGTGACTGTTCCCAGCACCAGTGTCAAACATTGGACGAAAGCTGCAGTATCATTATTATTATTATTATTATTATTATTATTATTATTATTATTATTATTATTATTATTATTATTATTATTATTATTATTGTTATTGTTATTGTTATTGTTATTGTTATTGTTATTGTTATTGTTATTGTTATTATTATTATTATTATTATTATTATTATTATTATTATTTGGTGCTTAGACACCTTGTTTATTTGCGTCTTATAAATTGATCTATTATTATTATTATAAAATATAGATTTTATTTTAATTTTTAACGAGCATTACAGGTTCCCTTTTTGAGTTGAGCAACCAAAGTTTTATTGACGTCTGTAATACCGGTATGCGCGTCTGTAAATTTTTCTTGAAACCCACCCTCAAGCATGAAGAAAAAATCGCCTGCCTTCGTGAATTCTATATTTAGGCATATGGGGGGAGGTAGGCACTCTTAATGGAGCGACACTCTAGTTCTCTTTATGCTAAGCACGAAGATGTATAGCTAGTGTAACTGCTTGGCAAACCGTAAACCTTCAAACTAGCGGAATATAACCGCATTTAAACTCCATCTAATTTAACGAAATCAATAAGATAATTAATTAGGCCATTTTGAAAAAATAGTTCTCTAAAGGTTAACTACAGAATTTACAGTACACTGTAGTTAATGTGTTATAGGTTGTGAAACTGTATTGAGTAAAAAAAAAAATCTTTCGAATAAAAATATCTTTCGCTTGACATTAGGAATTAATCATTTGTGATACAAAATGATTTACTATGGCAAGTGTTAAATTGAACAGTGTTAGATTCAAGGGGGAACCCAGTCAGCACAGGCCCCCAACCTCCTATTTTTTTCAAAATGAAAAAAAAAGGAGAAAACAGACAAAATTGTATTTAACTAATTAATCTCATAATGCCATTTCGGGCAATCTGGAGATGCCATAATCATAATTTTTTCTTACCTCAGCCCCCAAGTTGTAGGGATGAGGTGGGTGGACATTCTATTTGCCCAAAAACCCTCCCTGGGTCCCCTCTATTTCGACTTCCTGGACCCGCCACAGTTGGAGTATCATATCCGGGCTACATAGAAGGGTACTTTTTATTCATCGGTGGAAGTTTGCGTCGGGGAACCCATAACAAGGATAACCCTCCTGATAAATAAGTCATTGAGATCATGGAAGCAATCTTGACTTCGACTTTGTTCAGAAATCTGTGGCGCATTCAAGGGCGGGGTGGGGGGCTAATTTGTTCATTTTTTTTTTAAATGGAGATATAAGGAAAATTATATTCAAATTTTAAGTTTGAGAGTGTAATTTCTCGCCATCTAGAGGTGCCATAATCACAAATTTTCTTACCTCAGCCCAAACCACGGTGGGGCTGAGTTGGTATAGATCCTCCATCTGTTAAGTACCCAGTGCAGAAGTTAAGGGGACCCAGCCGGCCACCCACCTCCAAATTGTAAAAGAAAAAAAAAATGGAGATATATAAAGAAAATTATATTCAAATTTTATGTCTGGAAGTGCAATTTCCGGCCATCTAGAGGTTCCATAATCAAATTGTCTTACCTCAGCCCGAACCATGGTGGGGCTGAGGTAGTATAATCAGGGGTGGCGCCAGGAATTGCCGCAAGGATTTGCCCGACGGGGGTGGGGGCGATGTCCCCGACAAAGGGACCGATGCTTCACAAGGGGTCAGATTTCCCCGACGAAAGCAAAGTGGGCGTGGTCGAGCTTCGATTAAAAGCTTTAGAAAGTGGTCCAGGGGGCGAACCCCCCCCCAAAATTTTGAAAATTTAGGAATTACAAAAGCTTATTTAATAGATTAGTCCACTAATATGCAGAAAAATATATATAATTTTGTTTTCTCCCCGACGAATTGTGCTTTTTCTCCCCGATGGTTGGGGGGGGGGGCAGCTCTCCCCGATAGGGGCCCTAGCCCTCCGCCGGGGCCACCCCTGGTATAGATATTTTATATGTGGAAGTACCCTCCCTGGGCCCTTCAATTCTATTCACTCATAAGCGTTTACAAATCTACAGTTAGGAGTAGATTTGATAGCAATTAGTATTTTCTATTACTAATAAACATATGGATTGGAATATAAAAAAATGATATTAACAAGAAAATTGTTTAAATTGATTAAATGTACTTCGGTCATTGTTGATTACTTTTGTAATCAATGGCGATGTTTGGGGTAGTGGTTAGCATTTAGGTTCACAACTCATGATTTATTAGATGGATTTGCACGATGTTGGAATATCAACATGTAGCCTGTAGATTTTTCCAGCCATTCAAATTGAAAACGTGTGCAGAAATTGACGTATATGAAGGTCAAAAGATCGCTGATTCTGCAAATTCATCCCAAAAACCATAGCAGATATTCTTTATGACAATATAATGGAAATATATAGAGTGATAAAAGTTATGTTACAAGTTTCCCACACAATAAAATAAACGAGCGGTACTGGATACAACTTGGTTTCTCGCTTCAAACAAGGTATCCATTCGTAGAAGTCTTACAAAGATAATCCTATCCAAATGAACATAAAAGGGTCGGGGACCAGGACGTACA